GTTTCCTTCTAATGTCTATAACTTGACTTAAAATGTGTATAATATTAATATTACTGATGCAAATATGAATGTTAGGAATGGTAGTTGAAAAAGAATAGTGGTTGTGTTAAAAAATAGCATTTTGCGTGAAATGTACCATTAGAGTAGAATTGCTAAAATGTAACATTTTGGTACTGTAGCACCTGTCAAAATATAGATTTGGCATGCGAAAATAGGTTTTAACATTGGAGATACTCTAATCAATGATTCAATTATGGCTTTCGCATTGCTTCGCCGCAATGGAACTGGAACATCATTGTCTAGGAAACCTTACCTAGACTAGAACTGTTTTATAAGGCCTTATGGGCTTGTTAAACTTAAGGCCTTATGGGCTTGTTAAACTTATGGCCTGGGCCATTGTTTGAGGCTTAGGCCGGTTGTAAATTCTTTTTCTATCTATACAATATGTTTACTGTCCCATAAAATAAAAATAAAATTAAAAAGGTAAAAATATTGTTAGCATGAAAATCTTCTATTTTACATGGCTATGGTATGTTTATCTCTGTTTTGTTTCATATAATAACATGCACGTACAACATTCAAATAAGAAAATTATAAGGTAAACACAGAAAACACCTATATATATATTGTGATACCCCTCGATTCTAGAGCCACGGGTGATCAAGTCCGAGCACAGATTCGAGGGATATCAGACAATTAATATGTAAACAAGCAGGAATAAAATTTGAATTAAGAATAAAATAACAAAACACTGAAAGAATTCTAAAATAAAAATCCTCAACTTAAAATAATAAATTAATAACATTTAAATCCTTCAAATCTGTACAACTCGGGAATCCATCTAGTGGACCCCTAAAAATTCCAACTGGTAAAACATTTACAGAATTAAAATCCAAAACCAAAATAAGAAAGAAAATCCTATGTAGTCGGAAGAGTGAGTGACTGTATCTGCATCACCACGATCAAACCCTAAGCCTGGTACTCACGAACACCTGAAAAATAAAGGTGGGTCAGGCCCACATGCAAGTTCCATTCTACTACAATCCGTACATAAACCCGATACGCAGATACATCCTAGATAGCTCGACAATATCTACAATAGTCCATAGATATATAAATACACACTATAGGATGCTCACTAGCCTATAACATAGTTCAGCCTGGGTAGAAGGTGACATATAAAACACGCTTTTCAGCGGCCAAGTACCTAGACCTACCAGGGAACATTAGCTATATCTAGCTACTCAACATTTGCAATATACGCACCCTAACCGTGATCAAGAGACTCAAGCTCGTATCACGGTACCATAAATATATATATAAATTCTTTCCTAATGCAAAAAAATAAAACAAACATCCGTTATGTCGTTCAACTGTTTTAGTTGACAGGACATGCATCCATGTAGGATTTAACTATTTTATTTAATACATTCCGTATATATGAAGAGGTAGGACTTAGCTTTTTGATCTAATCCATCCCTGATATGTCACCGTCCCATACCGGTACATATAATGCAAATGATCCACCAGTGATGTACATTCAAATGAACATCAAATATATCCAGAAACCAGCATAATAGAAAACATATATTATTAAAATCTCATCATGCATCCAGTATATGATTATAATCATAAAACCTCCATTTAAATTGCTAAAGCGTAATCAACAATTTAAATCATCCATATCCACATAATTGAATGAACAGTAATTTTAGCAGTTCCTCAATTAACCTATATAGCATGACATAATAATATTCAGAATTTTAACCTGAACATATTACATTAAATTTCATGACGTCTAATTCATCCTCCAATAATCCCAGAGTATAACATAATGATACACAGAAAATATGAGCTGAGCACATTATATGAAATTCCAGACCAGTCCATTTAGATCACTAAATCCAAACTGGCAACAAAAGTTTCTACAACTCCCGACAGCATGCAACTCAACATCTAAAGTTCATGTGGTCAATAACCATATCCTAAACCAATATTTTTGGTCTTTATTAAGTTATATACATCCGTTATATAACATTAAATAAGAAATTTCACAGTTCGTTTAGGTTGCTAAACAAATTAACAACTTCATCCTTCCTCCTTCTTTAACAGTATGTATAATCACGTGTTTATTTTTCATGATCCACCTTTTAAGGTTAGCACACTAGCTTATACTAACTGGTTTCAAGCTTCAATAGGTTAATTTTAAACCTTTAAAACCTCCCACAACTTTCCCAAAATCACATCCAAGTCCCTGAAACCCAGAAAACCGCCTGAAAACACCCGTAGGTGTTAACAACCAGGGGAGCCGGCTCTGGAAACCCTTGGAGCCGGCTCCTAAGCTTCTAGAGCCAGCTCTTCCTCATGAAGAGCCGGCTCTCTCTTCATGGGAGCCGGCTCCCATCATTAGGGAGCCGGCTCTCTCCCTGAGAGCCGTCTCTGCTTGCCTCTGCTTCGTCCGTTCACCCCCTTCACTTCCGACGAAGGTTCCAGTCACTGTCCCAATTGTTTTTAAACTTCTTAGGGTCTAATTTAAATCTAAACAATACTAGAAACTCCTCACATTCCATTAGGAAAATAATTTACAGAAGTTTAATACATAATCCAAAACAGTTTATGCACGAACCGATTTCAGTTATTTAAAACCGGCAAAATTCCAAGTCTCTGTCTGAATTGTTTTTTTAAACTTCTTAGGTTCTACTTTAGATCCAAACAGTCCTAGAAACTCTTTAAAATCCCTTATGAATTTTTTTGACAAAAGCTTAGCCACAATCGAAATAGTTACAGTTTAAACAAAGGCATACTACAGATTACAATTTGATTTAATCATGCATAACACATCCGTTTTAATGTTTAATTAACTTCCTGTAGACCATTTAGAATGCACAGAACACAAGTTTACAGGAGAGGAATAGACTGAAACTTGCCTTAAGATTCCGGTTTGAAACCTTCATCGCTGTTGCTAAATTCTGCAACGAACTGTAGACTACCTGCAACTCTCCCACTGTTCCAGTTTTATTCCACAAGCCATCGACTCTTTCTTCCTTGATCCCACCTTCAATCCATGGATGTAATCCTAATTGATTCTCTCAATTTCCCTCTGTTTTTCTTTCTCAAGAAACCTCTCTGTTTTTCCTCTCATGAACCCTTACGTGAATTGAGTTTTAATTTCCTCACCCTAGCAAACATATAAGATTTATATATATACGTCCCAACCTTAAGTCAAATTATATAACCGTATATTTATAAGATTTACGTAAAACCTAATTTAAGTCGGCGACTACACGAAAATAAAACCCTAAATCTAAACCATAAATACAACACACCTAAATTATATAAGTTACCAAAAACTACACGTCAATTAAGTCACTAATAATCAAAACTTTAAATTAACCAATAATTAAATTAAAAACAATTACAATGAATTTAAACAAACACAATTATCAATTAAGCAAATAAAAACCCTTAAACACATAGCCAGATAAATCATATTTAAATGCACATAAATCAACTAATCAATAAATCAATAAAATACACATAAAATAAATAAAGAAATTCCAGTTATATCCTTTTAAAAATTAGGGGTATTACATATATATATTTATATATATTTATAGTGTGTATTAAACTTTTTATGTACAAAAAACACCTTTAACATTTTAATTTGTGCAAATAAATTTCTCCTGATACATTTATGCATTTATAAATACATTTTACATATTATTTAAAAATAATTATTTTTTAAAATGACGAAAATGTTCATTTAGCACATGAAGGGTGTGATACGCACTGTAACCATACTATATTGGTGTTTTTTGCACTTAACCCTATATACTATTATTGTATAGAATCTTTTGATCTTAACAATTATGTTTAATTGAGATCGTAATTTAATCGCGATTTAAATAGTCTAATGACAGTATGTGATTGAATAACCATTTGTTAATTTTTCGCTCAATAAAGATTGGACACATATTTGTTGCTATGTAACAAATTATATATGTAGATGTATATCTGTGAAAATTTAGTGCAAATTCTAAAGTTTAAAAATAATTAAATGTATAAATATATATATATATATATATACGTATATATAATAAGTATCTTTAATTTAATTTTTAATTATATATTTAATAAAAACGATAACTATATTAAAATTTAATTGAAAATCATTTTTATTCTTTATAATTATAAACAGAACAAAGGTTTTTATTTCATATGATATGTGCATTAATCTAACAATTGTTACAATAAATAAAATACATATCTCACTCTAACGATATAGATGTACGATTTATAATATTTTTAAACTATCATTTTAACATTGACTTATTTAAATAAGTGCACTAGTTATGAAATACTCCTTATCCTTTTAATAAAAGATAAATTTAAAAATTCACTTTTATTAATTCGATCAACAAAAAGTATTAAAAACCCATGTCATAACAAATTGGATCCCATAAAAAGTTAAAAAATTATGGGAAAGAATATATATATAAATTAGTGACTTAAAAATTACATTACTAAAAAGCTACACCAGCTGTGCTAAAAAACATATTTGGTAAAAAAAGGGGTGAGGGTTCAAGTTCTGGTAGAGATTAAAAAAAAAGGGGGTTCGGGTAATAAAAAAAAAAAAAAAAGTTGAGTATGTTATTTTCATGTCATAATTAAATAATAATAATAAATTTACGAATGCATTTCCAAGCTTCTTGCAAACAAGCTCAGCCTTGTACTCCCATCAATTATCAATCCAGCACATAATGCATTTGTAAAGGACAGACAGATCACTGATAACATATTACTCGCCCATGAACTCCTAAATGGTTACCATAGGTCTAACCATTCACCATGTTGTACAATGAAGATTGACCTTAGGAAGGCCTTTGATACACTACATTGGCAATTCATATTTGATATACTCCATTTATTTGGTTTCCCTCCTCAATTTATACAATGGATTGCCCAATGTATCTCAACACCTTCTTACTCCATATCACTAAATGGGGAACTTTTTGGTTTTTTCAAGGGGAAAAAGGGGGGTTAGACAAGGGGACCCCATCTCTCCTATGCTATTTGTTCTTGCTATGGAGGTACTGTCCTTATCCCTTGGCAATGCAGTTTCCAACAACCCAAGTTTTAAGTTTCATTGGAGGTGCAGTAAGCTTTCCATTACTCACCTTGCCTTTGCTGATGACTTACTACTTTTCTCATTTGGTAATCATATATCTGTCAATGTGTTTCACAATGCATTAACAAGGTTCTTACAATGGTCTGGCCATGTTTTCTTCTCTGGGGTAGATAACCAAACCAAAGCAGCTATACTCTACCTCCTACAATTTAATACTAGTGTATTGCCAATAACTTACCTTGGTTTACCTTTGATTTCATCTGCAATTAGTGCAACAGATTGCCAATCCCTAGTTCAAAAGATCACAGCTAGAATTTGCTTTTGGACTTCAAAATTCCTCTCATACGCAGGTAGAGTTGTATTGATCAAATCCATCATTCACTCCATCCAAACTTATTGGTCTCAAATATTCATCTTACCTCTAAAAGTCATTGAACAAGTCAACCAGATCTTGAGAAAATTCTACTGGTCTAGAGTTGAATTGAGGAAAAGTGGTGCTAAGGTTGCCTGGGCTGCCATTTATAGGCCTAAATACAATGGTGGTTTGGGTTTTGATTGTATTGATTTAGCTAATAGAGTTGCAGGTCTCAAGCATATTTAGAAATTATATACAAAGAAGAACAGTTTTTGGGTGGATTGGACCTACAAGTATCTCATCAAGAATAAGAGCTTTTGGACTATTAAACCAACTTCACTAAGTTCTGGGTTTTAGAGGAAATTATTGAAGTAAAAGGAAATGGCTAGAGGGGTAATCAGGCATAAGATTAGAACAGGACTTGATACTATGATGTGGATTGATTTTTAGCTTCCAAATGGTCCATTTTATTCTCAGCTGGGGCTTTCTGAGGTGGAAATTCTTCAACTTGACACAAGTGTCAAGGTTGATAGCCTAATTTCCAACTCTCAGTGGTCAATTCCAGCCTCTCTTCAATAGATTCCTTTCTTTAATTCCAACTCCTTCAATTCTCAGTTATATAGCTTGCATTCCCCTTCAGCTTCACCTGACTTGATTGAATTGTTACCAAGTTTAACCACTGACTTTTCACAGAGGACCACAATGGATTACTTCTGCCCTCCCTCACTGTCATTTAGTTGGCATAAACTTGTTTGGTTCAGGCACAACATTCCAAAACACGGTCATATTTTCTAGATGGCTATCAAAGAGAGACTTTACACTCTTGATTCAAAGCTTATGCAACATAAACACTACACCAATAGATGCTACCTTTGTATGTCTGGTTGGGAGTCATTGGATCACCTATTCTTCAAGTGCTCATTCAGTAGCTCAGTTTGGGAATTCATACAGAATGTTGCTGGGTTCTACATTAGGCCAAATTGTTGGACTGATCTCATTTCATGGTGTTCATCCAACTGGCAAATGAATCATTTCACACTGCATAAACTCTTGCTCTCGACTGCTTTCTACTTTATCTGGTTTGAAAGAAATGCAAGGGCCTTCAGAAATAAGGCTTCCAGTGCTCAACATATCATTCAACTCATCAAAAGTTGCATCAGATCAAGACTATCATCACTGGTTTTGAAGAAGGAGGCTGAGCTTAACCAAAAACATTCAATGGAGGATATGCAGAAGATGTTCCTTGATGGATGTGCATTTGTTGGCTGCCACACATGGCTTCTTTCAGATGATTAATCAATTCTGGAGGTTGTTTTATAGGTTTTAGAGATGTTCAATCCAAGTTGGTGTTGATGTATACTACTGTTTGGTGATGTTTTTGTTTGTTCATTTTTGGTTTTTGTTTTGCTGTTCACTCCCCAAGTATGGGGGTATCCTGTATATTCTATTCTTTTCTTTCTTAATATATGCTTACCTTTTAACTAAAAAAAAATAATATAAAATTGTCTTTGATTACTAAATATTTTATTTCCTTATATTATTAATTCTAACTAATTGTAGCTAATTCCATATTATAAGGACCTAAGTTACACAATCCGTCCAAAAAGGCCTCGCGAATTTACTTTGTATACCTAAATTTGTTAGAGTCACAGTAATATGCAATACTTATATTACCATATATGCATTTATTACTTATACTATTACTCAATATATACATTAATTACTTAAATTTCATGTGTGCCCCAACTGTATAATTAATATATATATATTAATTATACATGTTTGAAAATATATTACTAAAAAACTTCCCAATTAGAGAATATTACAAATAAATCACCCATCTATTAGTGAGAAAAGTTAGTTTATTTATTACATATATTATTAATGGAATAAATAATAATGAATATATTTGCATATGTATTTAAAAAATAAAAAATATATATATCATGACTTGATATAATTTTATTTAAACCTAATATATAGACGCTCTCAAGACATCTCCGATTTTAAAATATTTAAACTTTGACGCTTCCCGCTCTCGCTTTCGTTCCCGTTATTTGTGACTTAGATAAGGACACTAAAATTATTTCTTCCTTGTTGTTATTATTCTTTTTATTTTTAAAGTAATTTTTTTTTTTTTTTTTTTTTTTCCACGTTTCTATTGAATATATATTTAAGGACTAATAATAAGATTAAAAAAATAACTAATAATTGTGGAAATTAATTTTTAAATAATTTAAAAATTATAAAATAGTGAAAAAAAAAATTATTCACTTAATTCATAATATTAATAAAATGTGTGTCCCCTACTCACAAATAGTTTCATTGAAATAACATTATTAACACAATAAAATGTCACTTTTATAATTTTCGTCCAAGACATCAAATTTTATTAAACCGACCTTACTCCCTTTTCCTATTTTTTCAAAATAAAAAATATAAATAATAAATAATAAAGCTTTCAGAATCTCTGCTCCCGTAATCAAGGTTCATCAACTTCAGGCAGCATATTATGCTGGTGAATGCGCGCGCACACACACATATATAATTTTAAATTTTGTAGTTACTAGTAATTAACATTATTGTGAGATAATTGTCGCATTAAATATAAATTTATTTATTTTTCTTGGCTGAAGGCCCGAGTGTGGTTTCTGGTTGAGTTTCACTTTTCTTTTAATTTTACAAATCACAAGCCATCATAGTTGAGTTTCACTTTCTTTTAATTTTACAAATCACAAGCCATCATATATTTCTCATTAATGTTGATCTTTTTAGAAGTCTTCCCAATGACATCACAGAAATCTTCATCCATCACATCCTCATTTCCATTGAATGATCTTTTGAACGAACATATATGTTAACATCACACCCTGTTATAACCAAATTGCATGATATATCTATATCTATATCTATATATATATATATATATATATGATAATGAAAATTTCACTTTTCTTTAATTTAATTTTACAAATCACAAGCCATCGTATCTTTCTCATTAATGTTGATCTTTTCAGAAGTCTTCCCAATGACATCACAGAAATCTTCATCCATCACATCCTCATTTCCATTGAATGATCTCTTGAACAAACGTATATGTTAACATCACACCCTGTTATAACCAAATTGCATGATATATATATATATATATATATATATATATATATATATATATATATATGATAATGAAAATTTTAGCATCTCATGATGACAAAATTAGAATTACTTATGAAAGCATTTTGTGGATGCATGACTGCATGCACATGGAGGGAAGGAATATCCTTGATCTAGAATCTACTTTAACACATTATTGTAACAATATATATATATACAAACACATAATTTCATGAAATTATAGATTGCTGGTATACACATAATTTACAGGCAATTGCGTGTCTATAATTTGTAAACTATGTGAGAGTTGAAAGTGAAGGATTGTATCCATTTACAATTTGTAAACTATTCAAAAGTTTAAAGTGACTAATGATAAATTATTCCTCATATAATGATTGGTATCATACCATGTGCGACTAACCTCATACCTAATGACAAGTTAATAACTCATATAACATGTGGTTTTCCTAGAAAGACAAAACATTAGACATCTAATCTTGGAATATGACAAAATCAGTCAACTGATCGAAGCTATTTTTGAGCTTGATTACATTCAATAATATCCTCTTGTGCCACCATGAAATTATGGATTTATATCTGAAGTTTTGTATTCATGCATTTTGAGGGATAGAAGCGTTTTCCTAATGAAACTGTAGTGTGTTCCACGTCTCAGATCGATAAAAATCTTTGGTTAGGTCTGCGGTCTGAGTCTCATCAATGCGAGAATTAGGTTTAACTGATGCATGTAATTTGCAAGCAGCTGTGTACATTTAGAATTTGTAAATCATCCGAGAGCCTAAAGCGAGACAATTACATGTATTTGAAATTTGTACCATCTGAAAGTTCAAATGACTAATGGGTGAATTAATTCTTTATTACAACTAAAAAATAGAAAATAAAATATTCAGAAAAATTCAAACATAACTGCTCTATAATGATTGGGATCATACCATGTGCAACTAACCTTATAATTTAATGACTAGTATACCATATGCTTTTTCCCGAAATTTATCCAAAAAACATGTGGTTTTCCTAGAAAGACAAAGCAGTATATATATATATATATATATAAACCTGCAATATGACAAAATCAGTGCAATTCTTCAAGAATATAGGAGTCCACTGAAGCTATTATTGAGCATGTTTACATCCAAATATCCAAATAATATTCTTTTGTGCCACCATGAAATTAGGGTTTTATTTGAAGTTTTGTATCCATGCATTTTTTGAGGGAAAGAAACGTTTTCCTAATGGCCAAAAGATTGAAGAGAGAACTAGAAATTAAAGCACGAGAGTGTCGGTGACTACTAGCTCTTGAAAAGGGCATGCACATATATATGTATATACACAGCACATGGGGACATAAGAATTGATATTAATAACAGGCTATATATGCTTGACACGCAGCCTTTATCTTCTGAAAATAAATATTGATATGGGTCCGGTCCTTGTTCAACTTTCCTCCTACATAGGCTGCAACAATTTGCAAGAAGCATAGAAAAATCTAGGTTGCTTTCACAGTGTGTGTTTATGTGTGTATATAGAGGGCAGCGATAGATGGACCGATGGTTTTGGCAGAATAGTTTGACTGAATATACATGACAGTTCAAGTACGTAACTTTAATAATTTAAAAAAAAATTAAAATAAAATAAAAGGAGAAACAATATACGCGTCTGTAGATTTATCTTTCTCAAGTTGTCAAGTTCTAGACTAAGTTCTTCTCTTCTGATAGTTATCAAATATCTCCCTTTTTGTTTTGTCTCTTCAAACAATATTTCTTACCATCTTAACTTGAAGAAAGAAAGAACTTTTGATTTTTAAGGTATGGTTGCAACTTCATTTCGATCATATATCAGATTTATATATATTGTATCGTATATGAATTTTTTTTTTTTTTTTTGGGAAGGTAAATATGTGTATTTATTTGTTTAATTATATTGTTCTTCACCTCTTTAAATTTTTTTCAAAGAGATAAATTGAAGTATATGCATTCCATGTGTTCGATATGTGGTTTGAGATAGATTTATGTTCTTTCTTCAAAAAAATAAATAGAATGTTTTTGATGTTGTCTGAGATGGGTTTGTTTGGGTTAATTTTGATGTGAATTATTTATACTGATATTAGATGAATTTAGACTAAAGAATGCAATACAGTGTAGTATAAAAGCAAGAAATGAAAAAAAAATTATAAAAAAAATTAATAATAATTTTTATAATCAGTGCTCTGCTTTTCATCATTAGTGCTTAACTTTGTTGTTATGTTTTTCATCATCAATATTTAACTTTGTTGCTTTACTTTCATAAGTGTTTACTACAATTTTTTTTTTTTTTTTTTTGGGAAATTCTGTTTACTACAATTTTTAATTTATTAGAAATGGAAGAAAATTCGTATGTGCAAGATGCTAAAATGCCTTATGACCATGAGATTAGTAGTAATGATAAAGGAACTGAGCAAGAGTTGGATGAAGTGGAAACATCCAAGGCTGGGATGATTTTTCAGTCTGAAGAAGAAGTACATAGTTATTATAACAACTATGCTAAATGCCAAGGTTTTGGTATAGCAAAAAGTAGCGTAAAGAACAGAAGTGATAGTAAATCAAGATACTTTTCACTTGCATGCTCTCGGAATGGTAAGTTAATATCAACTGCAAAAAACTCTTTTAACCCAAGGCCTTCAACTAAGGCAAATTGTAAGGCAAAAATCAATGTAACAGTTAAAGAGAATGGGAATTTCATTATTACTCATGTTTATCTTGATCACAATCATGCATTAAGTCTAACTAAGGCACGACACTTCCGATGTAACAAGGCACTAGATTCTGATGTTAAGAGAAGATTGGAATTAAATGACTTAGCAGGAATAAAGTTGAATAAAAAATTTCATGCACTTGTTGTTGAAGCTGGTAACTATGAAAATTTATCGTTCAGTGAGAGAGATTGTAGAAATTATATAGCAAAAGCAAGACAATTGAGACTTGGGATTGGAGATGCTGAAGCCCTTCGCAAGTATTTTTATTGCATGCAAAATCAGAATTCAAATTTCTATTACATGACTGATATAGATGATGAAGGGCGTTTAAGGAATGTATTTTGGGCGGATGCAAGATGTAGGGCTGTTTATCAGTCATTTGGAGATGTTATCGCATTTAATAGTACATACCTTACAAATAGGTATAACATGCAGTTTGCTCCATTTGTCGGGGTGAACCATCATGGGCAGTCTGTGTTACTTGGTTGTGGTTTATTATCGAATGAGGATACCGATACTTATACTTGGTTATTTGAGACATGGTTGGCATGTATGCTAGGACATGCTCCCAAAGCCATTGTAACAGACCAATGCAAAGCCATGCAAGCAATAATCTTAAAGGTTTTTCCAGATTCTCATTATCGTCTATGCCTTCGGCACATCATGAAAAAACTTCCTCTGAAGTTGGGGGGACTTGCCCAGTATAAAACAATTAAAAAGATCTTAAAAAATATTGTGTATGAATCGCTTAAGGTTGATGAATTTGAAAGAAGTTAGGTGGAAATGATTAATGAGTTTAACCTTGAGAATAATGAATGGTTGAAGTCATTTATATGCAGATCGTCATCGTTGGGTTCCAGTGTTTTTGAAATGCACTTTTTGGGCTAGAATGTCAACTACCCAACGAAGTGAAAGCATGAATGCTTTTTTTGATGAGTATGTTCACTCAAAAACCACCTTGAAGCAATTTGTTAAGCAATATGACAATGCCTTAAAAAGTAAGATTGAGAAAGAAAGTATAGCAGATTTTGTGACATTCAGTACTACCATTCCAACAATAACTCGTTTTGCTATTGAAAGGTAGTTGTAGAATGTTTATACCCATAACATTTTTAAGCTATTTCAAGATAAGTTGAAGGGTTTAATGTATTGTAATGTCTCTACTATTAAGAAAGAAGGGTCAATTTCCACATTTGAAGTGACAGAAAGTTTGACAAGAGAAAATGGCCTACGTTGGAAAGAGGTGGATTATCAGGTTTTCTATAGCGAGACTGAATGTAAAGTACAATGCACATGTCATCTGTTTGAGTTTAAGGGAATTTTGTGTAGGCATGTAGTCTCTGTGATGATCAAAGACAAGGTGAATGAGGTTCCATCTCATTATATTCTTAAACGTTGGCAAAATGATATTAAGTGCGGGTACACTTTTGTCAAAAATACTTATGATGATTTTAGCAATAATGAACAGAGGCACCGCAATAATAAGTTGATTCCACAGTTTCATGAACTTAAAGAACTTGGGACAGAATCCGATGATAAATGTGAGCTTTTAATTACATTATTGAATGAGACAAAGGAGAAGTTCATTGCAACGGACTCAAATTGTGATAGTAAACAAATTAATCAACATCTTCTAGGTGCTAACAACAAGTTACTTACTCCTTTGAAAGCGCGAACCAAAGGTTGTCCCCTTTCAAAAAGGAAAGAATCATTAGTTGAGAAAATAGCAAGTAAAGGAAAGAAGGTATTTTTATGAAAAACTTTTTATCTAATTATATTGGCATTTGATTTGTCATGTTATATAAATCTTTTTCAATACCCTGTAGGTCTCTCAAGCAAAACAATTGAAGAATCCACCTATAATTAATGATGGTGAAAGAGGCATGCAAATGCAAAAAAGGAAAAAAGTGGCATAGACATGATTTTTTATTACTTTGTTGTTTTCATTTTGGTTATATAGCCCGAAAGTGTTATATCTATAATCTACAGGTTCAAAATATTCCACTTATAATGAATGATGGAGTTGTACACATTAGTGGTCCAATTGGATTAAATATTGTTGACAGAGTTGCAATACAAGAAAATCGTGTGGTAATTAAATTGTCCATGCCAAAACTATTGTATCATTCATATATTTAGTTTATTGATTTTAATATATATTTGTTGTTAATAGAATACTTCAACTCATCTTTGGAATGCCATGCATGCTGGAATGACTGCAAATAAGACTCTAGAGGTAATTAGATAGTAATTATACTAACCATTTAATGACTTATTGCATCAATGTTGTTTGTGAATTAATTGATTATTTTTTATATAAACTAGGTGTACCCGCCATATTATATACCCATGAGCAATCCATCTTGGCAAAATCTTGCATTCTACCATCTTCAACAGGTTCATATTTTTGCATAATTTTTTGTCATGCTTGTTATATTATTGTGTATTTATGTCCATTTGTATTTGTTGACCATGTTCTCGTCGCACTACACCATCAAGTTTGAGAATGTGAATTTTAGGCGAGAGCCAAGAGTTTTACATTTATAAAAGCCACTACTACCTTTCACTATAAATATAGCTAGGGCGAGTAGGTATTGTCCCAAGGGATTGTGAGGGTCGAACAAGGTTGTGGAATCGCTATTAGGGCTAGTAGGTCGAGTGATCAAACAATTGGTTTGTTGGTTGATTAAACTAGAGAGCAACTAAATTAAACTAAGTGATAACAAAAGAATGCAAATAGGAGTAAGTAAGAGAGAGAAGAGTCTTGAGCTTTAGAGATCACCACCAAGAAATGCATTTCTATGCCATTGACAAGTGACTAATGAGGGCAAATGGTGTGTTGCAACATTGGTGTGTGTGTGTGTGTGTTTGGTTGATTCAACAAGCAAGGATGGCTAGTTAAGCATGTATTGTCTAAACATCATGTGAAAAACACAATATATCTAAGCAATGAAGGATATATTATCTAAATAACATGTGAAAGACACAATAGATCTAAACAAGTCATTAATCCTTTCATTAAGCTCACAATCTAAATACAACACAAGGTTAGAGACATATGTTACTTACATTCAAAAGCATGGATCATCAAACAACAAGCATTGATTGTCCTCCTATTTAACACTACACTACAACTACACTACATCTACACTACTAGCATGAAAATAAACTAAGGGAGAGGCACAATCCATCAACGAATAGGTATGAACTATCAAGAAAATCACAAGAGCATTCCATTAAGCACTATGTTTTGACAATCTCTAAATCTATAGCATCAATACACATAGACATGCATCAATAACACAAAATCTAGAGACAAGCACATGAACATCTATTATAACATACATAGACATATGGATAGAATGAAATGATCAATTGAAAGCATTTAACCACATAAATCATTGAACAATCAAGATCTATATATATATCAAAGTGTCAAAACATTAATTATAACACTAATCCCTCAATAATACACAAGATTGAGATATAGAAAGCATGATTGGGGTTAACTCTAGCCCCAAGAGGATGTCTAGCCACTTATGGTGATGTTGCTCCAACCCTCAAGGGCTAAGTCCATAGTTAAGATTTGCTCCTTGGATGATGAAGAGTCTTCAATGGTGTCTCTAGCCTCCTCCTCTTCTTATTCCTCCCTAAAGCTCTCCTCTTTAAGAATAATCCCTAGAATTGTATATATCTCAAAAAGTGCATCATATTCCTTTTATAGGTAGGTCAAGTGACACACAAGATGAGATGGGGTCGTGCAAAGAATATTCTCTAATGATTGGATAGAGGATGGATTGAACAAGTTGGCTTTTTAACTTTTTTGCACTGGAGGAAGTTCGATCGATCGAACTTTGGACTTGGATCGATCGAACTTGGCTGAGATCTATCGAACTGAGGCTGGATCGATCCAACTGGTTGAGCTTTTTGGGAAAAGACAAATTTGAGATATTTTGGGAGATATTTTTGGGAAAAGGACAAAAGTGGTTAATAGGGTGGTACAACTAGATAAGATCAATCATTTGAATAAGGACAAAAGTGTTCAATCGATCGAAAGGTGGTGTTGGATCGATCGAACTTGGATTTTCTGTTTTGTGTAAAGGTTTGGATCTATCTTGAGGTACTGAGATCGATCAGTGTTCGATCGATTGAACCTTGAAGCTGGATCAATCGAACTTTACTGCTTCCTATCTTTGGCTTCATTTGCTTCTTTCTTTTTCCATTTTACTCCTTTCTTTGTTTAATCCCAGAATTGCTTCGATTAAGCTTTTATTTGGCTGAGTTAGCTTATTTTCGGGATAAGTGCCTGAAAATGGAAATAATACGAAATCAATCTAAAACGGTAAGGTAAGATAGATAAAGGTACTAGAATGCCTAAGCTTAAGGGGTTTAAATACGCACTTTTCAGCGCTCATCATTTGTGATAACAGAATTATGAAAGGTTAGACTCCAACAGTTCAATGAATGGTTCTTCTTATACCAACGAAAATAATCTTGATCTTAAGATTAATTTTGAAGGTATGTTTTAATACTAGTTAAAAATAAGAGTGAATAATAAAAAATTGAAGATATAACTAACATTGGCTTATTTTGATGCTTTGTAGGTTCTCAGGGGGATGCATCTCATCACACACTTTAGTTTATAGGGTTGGGAGAACTGGCTTCCTCTACTATCCATTTTATTCAATGACACATTTGTGGTGGAAAATATTTTCACTTAATTTTAAGTTGTTTTGTAGAATCTTTTTATACTCTTCTGAATTATAAATGTTTTGGTTTGAATATTTGAGTTAGAATGGAGTTGTTTTTCTCATGTCTTTTGATATATCTTGTACTGTTTGAGTGTCGCCCTAAAAAGTACCTCATCTAACATGTCATTCAATCAAATGTACAATGCATTTTCTCTGTGAAGAAAATATGAGGTAGAGTGAAGTGAAAAAGATGAGACCACCAGTCTCCAAAAATAAAAACAAAAAAGTAAAAAAAAATAATAATAAAAGATGAATCCCATTTCACACAAAGTATTAAGCACATGTAATGGTTTTTGCTGTTTTGTGCTATCATCCAAGTTACGATTTACATACATTTTATCATCAATTTGATAACATGGAAGAGTTCTATCTGATGCAACAATTGACCCAATGGCCAAACTCAATTGATTATCATCCAAGCTACGATGCCGACATCTTGCAAAAAGTTTGGAAGAGAGAGCGTTGCCTCTCCCTAACTTTCTCTCTCTAGGACCTAACAATGTCGTCTCCTCAACAACTCGTTTGACCAATTTGAACTATTTGCGCTGCTACTGTATTTAGGCAAAATACATGTATTGGATTGAGTAAATCAAATTAGGAACTTCAAAAGGTCAATTAGTGAATACAGTTAGAAAAATTGCAGGTTATACTTGGGGGTTCGCCGTCGACACCACCTACTTCGTCTTCTCCATTCAGCTCGTCTTCGTCGTCGGAACACCACCCACCACCACCAAACCCATTATCTCTGAAAAATCAACCACCAAAACCACTGTCGCCATCCATCAACCCAAACAATCCATTTACCTTTTTTTAAAAAAAACTTAGCCCCAAGAGATTTCATGATACCAAAATTTTCCTAAAAAAAAAAATTGATGCAAGATTCAGTGTAATTCTAATTACAAGAGAGCTGCTGCTACGTCAACTCCGTCTTCTCAAGGAAGGTGGGCGAAAAACAAAGTCTTCGAGCCTTTTCGAACTCCCCTTCCACCTTGGCTTTTAGGTATGAATTTTCGCTTTCTTTCGTTAGAGCGAACGACAAAACAAACCTATTGTTGCACCTAATTGTCAGACCCTTCATAAGCTTCAACAGTTTAGGGGGAATTCGATTTTGGTAAGAAGAATTGGGTTTGGGTTTGAAGAGGATTTGGATCGGGAATCTTAGAAAGAGAGGAGCAATGGTGGTTGTGGAGAAGAAAGGTGGTGACAGTGGCGGAGGAGAGATTGCCGGTTCAATCTTCGGCAACTCCAGATCTGGACCCTTCTTATCAGGATGGTTGTGGGGAAGTTCACTCACACAGACGAACCAACTTCAGAACAAACCCACTTCTTGCTTCTTTCCCGGTGAGTGAGATATTAGAGAGAAAAATAGAATGAGAAAAAGAAAGAAAAGAGAGAGAAAGAGATGGAAGTTGCCTAGTTGGATAGGCTACGAAGTTTTTGCCAAAGTAATCGGTCAGACACTTCGATTGAAGTATCATTTTCCATATATATATTACAAGCAAATTATTACGAATTCGAATTCTCTCCTGTGTTGTGCATTGGTGGCGGGAAAGTAAAAATCACTCCACATAGGATTTTCTGTATCCATCCTTGTGGGTAATTTTCACCCTTCTCTGTGTGCTAAACTTTAGTGCACAAGAAATGATACTTACTCATTCTTAACTATGGTATGACTACATTTTTGGTCCTTCAAAATGGTTAAAAGAGGGAAGTAAAAAAAAAAAATTTCATTTGCAGGTATCATATTAAGTGAGGCAATTCGATTAAATATAGACATCAACTGTAACATTATTTGTGCAAAAAATGACCACTATTATGCTCAAATTAGTCAATCTATTCAAATTTATATCATTATATCCAAATTCCAACATAGTCTTTGAAAATGGTGTTTTCTGTTTAGCAAAAAATAAAAAAATAAAAAAAATAATAAAAAAGGGAATAAATTCAAAGAAAACACCTTATAATAAGATAATTTTTTTTAAAGGGAAAATGATAGAAGTCTTGATGGATTCAAGGAAAAAAAAAAAATGAAAGTCTTGATGGGTTTTGTTGTGGAACTTTTTGATATAAAAGTAAACAGTGTCTATTTGAGTCGAACAAAAATAATTAGAGTATTGTAGTATTAAGCATGCGTGTATGGTTAATTGAATACTATTTAAGACTCGATTTTTTTATGAATTTGATACAACTCTTTTTTATAATTTTTAATATCTGTTGAAATTTTGAAATCTTAAAAGAAAACAAATGCGAATGAGCAGAAATCTGAAGCCTAAAAGAAGTAAGTTGATAATCCCAAAGAGTCCTTTCAAGATCTCATTAGGAATCTTGAAATAAGTATTTTTATATCCTTAAAGCATGAGTTTCTACTTTCAAACATGCATTGGAAACATAATTATTAGGGTAAAGTACACTGACACCCCCTGAGGTTTGGGATAAGGACAGCCAAATGAAACTTAGCCTATTTTGGGACAAAGACACCCTCTCAAGTTTGATACAATAACCAAAGACACCCCAATGGTAATGAGTTGACATTTCTGCCCTTTGACTTTTATATTGACCATGAAATGACATTTCTGTCCTCAGATACCCGTTCCAATTTCTTTCTCTCTCCTCTGTTCTGTCTTCCGCCGCCCCAACACCAACGCACACACATACATATATACACAGACACATACATATATATATATATATATATATATACAAATACATATATATATATATATATACACACACATATATGTATGTATATACAGGTGGCGATGGTGAATGGATGCGGGCTTTCATCCTTCGATTCCATCAGTGAGCTTACCCAAAGCCGGAGTACGTAAGTCATGAGTTGGGCTTAATGGCGGCGGTGGCAATAGTTGTTCGACGAGGGCGACGGTGAGTGCTCTTGCTTAAGTTGATTCTCTCTGTCAGGTCTTGATATATCCCACGGCAGCGCAGAAAATTGGAGCCATCAGTCTGACGAAGCTTCAAACTACAAGACCCGATTCTGTTCAGCGAGCCCTAAATCCGGTGAAGCCCAATTCAGATCGACGGACCCTAAGCACGAACAGTTCCCGCGACCCAGAAGAAGAGAATGAGGTTTCAACAGATTGAAAGGGATCGCAGAGAACTGGGTGGTTGCGCCGCCTTGCGTAATCGGAGGGTATGCTGAGAAGGGTACGCAGATCTGACTCTGCTTTCTGGATGATTGAGAGGAACTCTTTCCCTCTGTGGCTCATTTCCATCACGCTCATTCTGGTTCCACGCCAATTTTAGAGCTCAGATTTGGCCATCTTGGGCACGTTTTCAGGTAGAGTGGCCGAACTGGAGGTGAAATTGAAGACCTGATCTTGGGATTGGGAGGTGGAGGTTGGGCGATCTTGGATTTGGGTTGTTGAATATGTGATCGATATGGGTTTGTTGAGGCACGAAGATAGGTTGAGGGGGAAGCCATTGAAGTGGGTGGTGGTGATTGTGTTGGGGCTTTTGAGAAGGTGAAAGTTAGGGTTTTTCAGGAGGAAAGGATGAGGTGAAGTTGTTGACGTTGCCATGGTGTTTTTGAAGTTGTTGACATTGCCATGGTGATAGACCAAAAGCTTGATCCTTCCCTTCCATTGGAGAGCTTGAAGGCATGGTGGTTTGGGGGTGGGTGTTGGTGGTTGTGGAGTTTTGGTGTGGTTGCTGCAGAATCTAGTTGTAGGGTTGATGAGGTGTTGAGGGTAATTTGGTCATTTAATTATTTTAATATTTTATAATTAAAATTAATAAAATAATGAAGGGTAATGTTGACTTTTCATATGTTTTAAGGCTCTGTTTGGCTTGTAAATATTATGAGGGGGTATCATTGTCCCAAAACAGAGCAAGTTTCATCTGGCTGTCCTTTTGACAAACCTCAGGGGGTTTTAGTGTACTTTACCCTAATTATTATTAAAAGACAGTAACTTCTATTTCACACTTTTTCTTGAATCTAGGAGAAATCTAAGGCTCACATTCAAGCAATTCAACCTATAAGTTTATCACTCTAACGCAATTAGCTCCTTAAATATCTAAGATGCACATGAGATTTTGAGGTCTTCCTGTTTAATTTATTTACTAAAGTTTCTAGTTCAATTTGTTAGAGATTTTGTTAAAAAGGACGGCTAATTGTAAATGCGATTATTCTTAGAAACAACTATAATTAATACATTGCTCGTAATTTTATGAAGCATAATTTTATAAGTTGAAATTACCCTCTTTCTTGAATTTTATTCTCTCTTCCCGTGTGTTTGTATAGGTGTGTGTGTATATATATATATATCTTTTTTCTTCTTCTTTTCTTTTCTTTTTTTTTTTTCTTTTTTTTTTTTTTTAAACTGATTTATTCTTTACTTTTTTTTATTTCTTTTCAAAATCAATCATTTATCCTCTGTTATCATCACTCATTAAACTATCTTATTTTTAAAGTGTGACTATCTCATCATCAACTTTTATCATTTACAAATATTAAAAACTCAATTATATAATTTTACTTCAACTAAAATTGAGTAAGTGTGATTATCGCATCACCACTATACTTCTCTCTCCCTCTGTCTTTATTAAACCATTCACTTATATCTTTTACAAATAAACTAAAACTCTATTATACAATTTTACTTCAAAGAAAATCTAATTCTATAATTGAAGTTTACAGTCTTGAAAATTCACATCTAAAGTATAAATAAATAATATTTAATATATACAGAATCCATCAACAGTAAAAAAAATTAAAAAAAAAATTCATTTAAAGACAATTCAAACAAAAAAAAAAAATAAAATAAAATAATGAATTAACAGAAGATTAGCTATATATATATACATGCGATGGAAGGAAAAGAAAGAAAGAAAGTCAATATACAACAGAGGTAATTTTGTCTTATAAATTTATATTTTAATACTTCATAAAAATAAGAGCAATGTATTAATTATTTTTGTAGCCAATAACAAGGGCAATTAACAGTCCTCTTTTGTTAAATAATACAGTAATCAATTTAAAATTGATCAGATATTATAGAATTTCAGTTTCTTACAGCCACCATACATGCACAACAAACAAAATAGTGAAACAAAATGTCAAAAGACTTTACAGTTTTTGAATTTTTTTTTTTGTTTTTTTTAGTTTGGTACCCACGTTCATATGTCTGGGGTTCAAAATCTTAACCTCATTCTAAAAGACAGGGACCTTGAACCACTAGACCACATACTTATTGACTAGTCTTAGACATTCCGTTTCATTATGACGACACAATAATTTTCTTTTTCGCTCTTCAAATTTCTCAATTTTGTCGTCTTTAATTTGAAAGTCTAAAACAATGATATATAATATTTCAATGTAGTTATTATTAGACTTCTAGAATGGAGTCATTTGCATTAACGGTACCAGAAAAATAATTACCTTTCTGTTTGCATAATTTGTGAATGTTGTGGTTCATTACCAAGGGTCATTCAAATAAGTCCTTATACTATGTTAGAGAGTGTCGGCAATTTGAATTTTGAACTAGAAAAATTTTTTAGTTTAAATCTATATTAAATTTTCTTTTACGCTTCTTCCAAACGCAATATTAATAAAATTTTGACATAAAAATTGACAAGAGATGAACAGTTAAACATGTTTGCCTACGGAAGTAATAGTTGTGTTGACGTGACTAGGATTGATTTTTCAACTCTTAAAATTGAGCAAAAAGAATAAATAATAGAAGGCAAACAAAAATAAAGTTAAAATAATCGTTCAACTCAAATTCAAAGATTCAAAATTGTCAATTATTTTTTTTTGTTCATACATGTTGCACAATTTTTAATTTGGAAAATACTTGAGTCTTGTCCGGGACAAATTTTGTCCTCATATATTACGTGGCCCAATCAAAATATGACAAGTGTCCAAAATAAAAATTAACCGGCTAGAAATCTAAGGACCCATCCGAATTCAACATTTCATTTTTATTTCTCACTTCTTCTCTCTCCACCAAACACTATTTTCTCTCTCTAGCAAATCCATCACCACTTGTTTCTAATTTCTTTCACTTTTCTCTCTCCAGCATACCCATCGCTGTTTCATCAGACTTCTCTGACTACTCTCTACATATACAACAAACTCATCACCACTTCTTCGATCATTGGAGTGCCAAATACTTGACCTGCTTCTCATTGTCTCCACCACAACCACCTCCTCTTTAAACTGTTTGTCATATTTTGTATACAAGTGCATGTCCCTCTCTCTCTCTCTCTCTCTCTCTATATATATATATATATATATATATACATATATAGATACATCATTGACAACTTGCTAGTGTAGATTGTTAATAATTATGTGCTACCAAGTCGTTGTTGGAAAACAAATTCCCAA